AAATGTCAACCTTATTGTCAAAAGTTTTTTACTTTTATCTGGAATTTCGATAATTTTTCTATTTGCTTTGCATAGAGAATTTTTTGAATTTTGATTTTGTGTCAAATCGCAGTTATCAATTGAACATTTCAAAAAATTCTTATCGGATTAAGATTCACTCATCATGAGTACAAATGGTTTTATACTTGTGTTTCTTCATCAAATACTTTATTTCTTTCGTCATGCTTGTTATGATCAAATCATTGAATTTAATCTCATGTTGAAGGTCAATACTTCTAGCACTGAATCTATTATTTATATTGAACCCAACAGTTCTGTCTGCCTTAGCTTAACTTTTCAATGATAAATTATTACGAGGAAGGAGTTCACTTAATTTTCTTATGGTTTGTAAGTTTGCTTAATCAGCAAGTTTAATTCATCAATCAAAACCTATCTGAGTAAATTAAGGTTCATATCAAATACAATGGGATTCAATGAACTACAGAATCAGAATACTGTATCAGAAGTCATTTCTGGACAGTCAACTTCAAGTCCATTTAATCGTGATATGTGTGCATTGCAAGATGAAAGGTTTTCTAGTTATTTTAAAGAACGTCAAAGAAATTTGACGTCTTTCTTTATTCACTTATGATCTTCTTCAATGACACGGTTTTATTCGCTGCTTGAATTTTGTTCACAAAAAAAGCAAAAGAGGGTCAAGCGATGTGAATGTTCTGACTTCATGAAATTTATCCTAAGTTAGTCCAAGATACTTATTTCAACTACTGGACATTATCTATTCATCTATTGATTATTGCAACGATTTAATTACCTCTTCAATCGTACTATCTGTTATGAGTTATCCGACTTATTTCTTATTCATCTTATTATTCAACTTTTCATCATTTAACTGATTTGCAATATAGAGATTGTAGTTTAATGGTCTGCTCGACTTTGGTTGTAAGAATAATTTCGAGCAAAAATAGCAACACTTGAGTTATCAAATTAATGAAATGCATTTTAATGGTCGTTGTGCTCCTATTCCCATATTTAAATACATGTAGTTATCAATATATCATATGAATATTTATTTAATGCATTTTGAATATTTAAATGGATTACTTCAAAGATATCATTGCATTTCGTAATCAAAAAAACATTTTCCATTTAATCAAGCATTTATTAATATTTTGCACTGCTTTCAGTAACAATCTGATTACTGAAAGCTTCAATCTCTGGACTGAGTTATCGGCTAAGACTGTATAAAAGTTTACGAGAAATTAACGCGATACTTTTTCTTCTGATTTGAGAAGAGTAGCAAAAACTAAGCAAATAATGTGAATTTGCACTTGTCCATCTGTTTTTAAATTATAATCTCAAGTGAATATATTTGTTGAAAATGGTTCAACTAATTAATTGAGTCTTCCTTTTCTCTTAATATTTGCATATTCGAAGGGATAATTTGATAAATAAAAAAGTTGATGCATAATTTGTCCTTATCAAGTTACAATATATCAAAATAAGTATCATCAGGGTCGAAGTACATAATTGAACTGTTGATGCAAACTGAAAATTAGGGTCATTTTCATATGAAATGAATGCATAACCAGCAAAGTTTTAGGAATAAATTTACAACACTATTTTCAAATCAAGTCTGCCAATATGGCTCCTTAAAGATTGTGTAAAAGGTGAGTTCTAGGAGCAATGCCATCATTACAGGTTACAAAAATTTTAATTAGTTAAGCTAATTGAAAGTAATGGGAATAAATCTTTGAATTATCAAAATTGAATCAAGCATTTCATCAAGATCCACAAGTAGCATGTGAATAAATGTTTTAGGATATATGCAATTTCTGAAAGAGTCGATTTCTAGGACAGAGAAAACTGCTTCCTAAGACAACGAGTTTTCTTATAAAGATGAAAAAATGATGAAAGTGAAATTTATTTAAAAAAAAGAAATGGAATGATACAAAATAGAAGTGATTAAATCTCAGTTCATGATATTTTAAAGAAATCCAAACGAAACTGGAAATTCGAATCGATTCTTCCTTCCTTCCCGAAAGCTTTATTGAGTACTTCATAGATGACAGCAATATATGACTGTTGATCTACTGCGGCAGCGGCTGCAGTAGCCAAAGAAGCTGCGTTGGTAAAAAATGACACCGAAGAGGAAGAAGATAAACAAGATGAAGTTGTTGGTCATAAAGAGTTTGATGTTGATTTTAATGGAGTCGGTGGTTCACTCATTATGACACCCATCGAAGTTACTTCATTCTTCTGAGTAACAGTAAGTTCACTATTGTGGTTACAGAAGGCCAAAGAGACTATTGAGATAATGAAGGACCGAGATCAAGATAAAAATTTGAAGTGTCAACGGAGACCAAAAGAGATACCAAAAGTACCGAAAAAGAGGCGAATAAGAAGCCAAAGATCAAGATTATGCTGTTTTGTGCTTCTTCAGTTGCATCTTATTTTTTTGCCGACGCACAGATTTTCGATGCGATGTTGTCAATTGAAAGCATTCCTAGGATCACTTACAGACAGTTTTCTTGAGTAATCAAATTGCACAGCCAGTGACTTCCATTATGGTTATTCAATCTTCAGAAGCTCATTGTTTGAATCTGAGATCTACAGCATCAACATTTCATAAGTTATGGCTGCAAACAAGTGCACAGGGTAAACGAGAAAAAACGATTCGTTACTGAAACAACGCTCTTTATTTTCTGTGAGCAAGAAGTGTCTGTTGCTTGAAGCATCTGAAGAATACTTATTTCAATTGAAAAATAAGTATTCTTATTTTCCGTTAATATTTGCAAAATTTTGTTTCCATCAACTCAACAATTTTATCTAATAAACAAAATCTCATATTCTAATCATCATAACTGATTGAATACTTAATCATGTTAATCTGCAGCGAAATGGAGTTACTCTTATTGCTATTCCAAGTGATGAATATGAATAGAAATTGAAACTTGCTTTTCTTCCCTGTTTTTGCCAGTTTTTTCTCTTCATTTCCAATTCTCTATCATAGTTTGCATATTCATTTACCATGATTTTCTGTTGTTTTTACTTCGTATCTAATCAACGTTTCATTAACTTGAGAAGTTTCAAAAAAAATATTAAACTTGATAAACTTGACTAACTAATGAATAATTAAGAGATGAAACTTTTGCATAAAATATCCGTTAAGTTGAGATTTTGAGACAAAAAAGAAATAGTTTCAACAATTTATCAATATAAACTGAAATAATGAATGTTGCATTTCTGAAAAGCCGAATCAAGTCGAGAAGAAGCGAGAAAAAAAAGTTGACTTGAAAAGTGAATCATAATTGCAACATTGCGAGTTGAAAAATGATTGAAATTAATGTTGATAATAATTAATGCTCTCTGTATAATGACACATTATCATTATCATTGAATGAAAGGTTTACCATTAAAATGCAAAAGAAGAGAGAATTAATTAAGAACTTTTCTCTTAATCTATTCTTCTTCTTCTGTTTAATCAAAAACATTGTTTTCTCATCTTCGTCTGAATTTTGGCTTTTTTACTAATTCCTTTTGTATTTCCCATCAACATTAACACATGGATGAATTGAATCCAAGTTATGCTGCAATCAAATTTAATTGCATTAAACCTCTTAATTGTCCATAAAATGAGTTGATTGAATGTCAAATTTAGCACCAAATTGAAAATAATTTCAATTAAAAGGTGAAAAAAGAAGGTGAAAAAGTAAGCAGAAAATAGCGAAAATCGTTTCTTCTCCTCTTTCATTAAACAAACGAACCACAATCAATTTGATTATGATGACAATAATGATAATTAACCTCATCAAATGACTTTGAAATGTTAACATTTTCCTCATCAACACATGCAATTCATTAATCAGCAAAAGTTTTTTCTCTTTTTTGCTCTCCTTCCATTACATGGATTTAAATTTTTTGACTTTTCAAGCCTCGATTCTGCTTTTGAACATTATTCAGTAAATAGATTTTACATTCTTGTTTAACTTCAATGACAATCAGATTAACTTAAGCTAAAGGTTTGATGCTTAGCAACATTTTTATTCACAACAATAATCATCTCATGGATAATGCTGAACTCAGCTGAAGAGAAGCAAAAATGGCTTTGAATTTTTCTTCTTCCTTTTGCTCTCTTTCTCTCTCTTCCTCAATCTTCATCATCAATAAAAAAGGCAAACACAAAAGTAAAATGTTTAAAAGGATAACTTTGCCTTGATGAACATACGAATAAAGGTAGCGAGTTTCATCTCTCGAGTACAATTTACTTGTTAAAATAGGTTCACATTTAATTGGATTTGTCTGATAATATGTTATTCACTTCATTTTATGCTTTACTTGAGTTGAAGTTTTGAATGTTTTTTTTCACTTCTGTAAAGAGGGAAAAGGAAAGGAAAGGAAAAATGTGCAAAAAAATAAAAGGTAATATTTTTGCCTTGCTAATACAACATTATCAGATGACATTTCTGTCAAATTTTACGATAACATGGGAAACCATTGAAGATAAGCCAAGGGAAATTGCACCATCAAACGAATTATCAACTGTTTAATGAATAATTTACATTCAATGGTAAATCTTGGATCAGCATTTTATTGCTTGTTAACTTATCAATTTTCTGATTGCCCATTAAAAAGCGTTGTGACATTTACAAGTTGAGATATTGACAGTGATTGGATATTTTAAAGGTGAAAAACTAATTTTGTTTTAAAGTGTTGAGATTTTGTTCAATTTGAAAGTCACAAGTTAACCATTTCAAGACGCGACATCATTGACATTATTTGATCTTTGCTTGGATTAACTATAAGTCGAGATAATGAACAATTTTTTAGAAAAATTTTTTTCTAAATGTTGTAATGTTTTTGAAGCACATTGAGATTTGTTTTTGTGGTTTTAACATTTTCTGGTTTCAAGATTTAGTTTCAGTTTGCTTTTGCTTTTTACTTTTCTTTTGATTCTGAATCTTGTTACATTTTTAACCTTCTTCTTGTCACTCTCGATGCAGGTCTGTTTCATCGTGCGATACTTCACAGTGGAACTGGACTGTCTCCTTGGGCGATGGCCACTGATGCTGTCGACTATTCGAGGAAACTTGCAGCTCTGGTTGGCTGTCCTGATGGTGACGATCAGAGTTCACAGATGATTGACTGTTTACGAAGTAAAGATTATCGTGACTTAATCTCTCCCAATTTACCAGTTCCTTCACACTTAACCAGCCTAGGGCCGACCGTGGATGGTATTGTTATACCTGATCATCCGGAAAAACTGATGAATTCTGCTCAATATTCCCATCTTTTTGGTTCCATTGATCTTCTCCTTGGAATAACAAGTAAAGAATATTTCAAGTTTAATGGAAACGAAGAATCAAGTGGAATTGATTTGGTTAAAGAGGAGAAAATTGTGCGAACTTTGGTTCGCAATTTATTCAATTATCATCTTCAGGTAAACAAAAGAGAAACAAATACAAATTAAACTATTAATATAAAAAGCAAATTGCAACAGAGAGAGAGAGAGAGAGAGAGAAAATATTTTTTTGTTTCTTCCATGATTGAGCTGAACTCAAATACAGAATAAATCAAATGATATTTGATAAATAATAACTTTGATTAACTCGAATCAATGAACTCGATTATTTTCCCGTTTTTCCCTCTTCTGTCTACTTTGAGTATGAGAAAAGGTAAACTGTTGGAAGTAATGATAATGGTAATTACAGTTAGGTGCTAGATAATGTTGAAATTATGTTAATTTGATTAGATTTTAATATACCTAGATAACTGAATATCGAAAGTAAAGATGAAACAAGAGATTTCGATTATGTGGAAACGCTGTTCGAACTGAATAACTCATAACTTCAGATCATTTAGCTTGTACTTTGTGTTCATTTGCAAAGTTTATCTCAAACAGAAAAATGAATTCAAACTTGATTCAACGAAAAAATTATCGATTCATTTTTCGATTTGATTGTTGCCAGAAATTTTCTTCAACCAGCTGCCTGAGTCAACTTGAGATATTTTGAACATTTTTCAAATTCGATTTGCAATGATGAAGTAAAAGGTGAAGAATTTTTAAATTTAATTTTTTTTCTCTTTTCTCATTTTTAATTAGGAAATATTTCATACAATAGTCAATGAATATACTGATTGGACCAAACATGAAGTTAGCCTGAAAGACATTTTAAAAACTACTAGTGATATTGTAAGTGATGGAACCGTGATATCTCAAGCAATTAAAGTGGCTCAATTACATTCCAAGTTAACATCACCATCATCTTCAAGCTCGTCATCTTCTTCTTCTTCCTTTTCTCGAAACACTTATATGTATACATTTGAATATTCAAGTAAATCAGGTGATTATCCTTCCAGTGAAGGTTGTGTCCATGGTGAAGAGCTGGCCTACATTTTTGGCTCTCCATTAGTCTCTCAACTGGAATTGGGTTATTTTGTTTCTGATTATACGCCAGAGGAAACTGCTCTATCAGCTCGTATAATCACTTATTGGACCAACTTTGCCAAAACTGGGTAAGTGACAATGGAAAGGGAAAAGAGGGAAACAATTAAGTCTCAATTGATGGGCACAGGTTAAGTCGAACGCCAATAGTATTACAATATTGCTAAATTGAAGTTAAATTTACGTTTCTCTCGTTTTCATTTCATTGCCAATCGTTTCCTAATTAACTCGAACAACGCAAATCTCGATTAATCGGAAACAGAAGATAATGATGGAAAGAGAATGAAATTAAATGCTAGACGAACAATTGGTCAGAATAATTATTGTTGGTGAATTGATTGCTTATGATTGAATGATTATAAATTTTTAAGATTTTCTTCTAAAGATTTCTAAAGTTTGAAAAAATGTCGATTGATCAGATAATCTCTCGACTCGAAATCTTGCTCTTTATATTTCATTGAACTGCTTCTCCATTAGATTATCCAAACTAAACTGTGAATATAACAGGATAAACAGCTTTACCAATATTAATGACCTTTAATGCGTTCCTTAATCTTGCCATTAACTTGAGCCCTTCTTTTCTCGTGATCATGCAACTTGAAGTTGAACTTGCAATTGAAACACTTTTTTCCAACTTTTTGCTTTTCTCTTTAAATTGTCAAACGATAATTGTGTTAACAGGCAAGTTGTGGAAAACATTGGTCAACAGTTTAATGATGATCCAAATGATGATGGCTATAAATCATCGAATGGAATCAAAGAAATGATCTTTTGGCCAAGATATGATGAATATCGTCAACAGTATCTATCAATAAGTAAGAATCAAAGGTTATCATTATCCTTTGAAATGGTTCAAATTAATCCTCATCATTTTATTCTCATTTTCATTCCATTCCAAATCAACATTTAATCGATTCCAATTGCTTCTTTATTGATGATTATTCCCTTTTCCTTGTTTCATCAACATTATCATTATCCTTGTTTCCCTATTGGTGAAACAAAAACAGAGCAAAATAGAAAAAAGAAGAAAAAGAAGAAAAAAAATCAAAAAACATCAATTTCACCTTTTCCTATCTACTCTTTACTCCCTTCACCACTCCGTTAGTTATCATCATTTTACCCTGAAAGAATCTTTGATTACCCTGATTCTGTTTTCCCTATTATTATTACATTGCCTTGAACCATTTACAGTTGCGATATTCACTTAAAATGTTCACTCTGATCGACAATTTTCAAAACACTAATTCGCTGGTAAAAGTATAAAGACGAAGAAGAAGGAAAAAGAAGAAGAAGAAATGTTGAAAATAAGAAACAAATCCTTTTCCATTCCAATCATCTGTATTTACTTTGTTCACCACTCGATCGACGATTCCATGATATTTATAATTCCAATTTACTTTTTCTCCTTCTTTACTCCAAGCGTTCTCAAAATCTTATTCTCGCCACTTTTCTCATCATAATATCATCATTATCATTCTTTGACAGCTTTCGATTCAACAAAGCTAATTTACTTTTCTCTTTTATTCCAATTTTCACTTTCAATACCCTGAACTCTCAACAGATAAACTCTTTTTACTTCATCTTTTCCTTCATCTTTTCACCTCACCTTCTTTGCCCTTCCATAAACAACTAATTTGATTCCAATCTTTTCCTCTGAACATACATCATGAATAATGTCCTTAATCCTTTCAATTGTAAAACTCGAGATTGACTTTTACTTCTTCTTGTCTCTTGATTACTAGACTTGGAGCCTTCCGTCAAGGATCATTACCGTGCTCATCAGCTCAGTGTATGGCTTAACTTGATACCCAAAATTCATCTACCTGGACCTGGTCCATTAACTTATCAACATCATCTGCTCACTGACTATGATGATCTGTCAACCTATGAAGGGATCGTTCGGTCAACAGCAAGTTTAACTCATGCAATGGTAGCTGGACTTGTTGGCTCCGAGTCAACACTTGATTCCTCTTTACAGCAAAATGCAATTCTAGGCTCTATTGACTCTCTTCATCAAACCTCATCATGGCCGGGTTCCTCTCAAATAGATGGCCCTAATCCTGGTCTAATGGCTACCAGCCCTGTATCTGTGATAAACTCCAAGGTAAACAGTTTGAGTTCAAATTTATCCATTTCTCAGCAGCAACAGTTTACTGATAAAAATAAATCGCTCTCAAGTCAACCGCAACAATCTTTAAAGGAAATGAAACAAATTAAAGATGCCTCATCATCTTCATCTTCACACTCATCATGGGAAGATTCATTTCATTTTAAATGGAATGGACCCTATTCGACCACCTTAAGTGTTACAATAGCCATTGGCTGTACATTCCTCATTCTCAATGGACTCATGTTGGCTGCTTTCTTTTACAAACGAGGTCGACCCAATCAAACTCAAAGTGTTAACGATTCGTCAGCATCCAAAGACAAGACAAGGGTAAACTCACTTTCCTTTCAACCAGACATTAAATGCACATTTGAGAAAAGGTTTTCCAAGTAAAAGAGACGAAAAAAAAACAATCGACTTTGCAATGCAAATAAACTCGACTCGAAATTCAGCAAACCTGAAAAGTTTCTCATTTATATTTTCAAATTTCCAATTTAAATTTATTCGACAAAAAGATCCAAATCGAAGAACTTTTTCCAAAAAATCTTTCCATTTAAAATGCAAAGAAAAATGAATCCAAAATCGAAATAAATTTCCCTTCGAATTTAATCTGGAATTTTGACCAATTCGATGCTAATCTAAATGAGATGAATCGCTAATGTTTTCGTCGACATAAACTTTTTGTGCAAAGCTTGTTAATCTTAACACTTTAGGATGGATTTATGTTTTCGAGTTTTGATTCGTTTGCATTTTCTGTCCAATAGTTATAACGATTTGTAGAAAGCAAATTAGCTGTTGCCTATTGAATGCTTTAATTTACTTTTCAATCAATTGCATTTCCATTGGGCTTAACATTCATCATGAATTAACATACTTGTTTATGAATCAAGCTTACCTGTTAGTTCAATTGATTTGAGTACATTCAAACGAATATTATTTCACAATGAAATAATTTACTTTTTTTATCTTTCACTCCTTCGCTTTCATCCTTCCTTTCAATACTAAATATCAAAAGCCAACAAAAGTTTCATTGAAAGCTGATGGATTATGTTTCCAGTCTGATGCCTCAAGGGTTATTAAGAATGCATTTATTCATAAAAGTATTTTTTGAGGAAAAAAAAGATTGATAATTAAAAGGGAATGACTCGAGGTTAAATGACTTTTATCATTTTCCATTGTAAAAGTCGAGTTCAATAATTCATTTTTTTGTCTTTTGTTGAAAAATTTTGCTTTTAATCATTTGAATGAACAAATTGAATGTTTGCTAACGATTCAATGTTTTAACGTTGCAACGAACCAATGTTTCATGAAAAGCCAAGCTTGAAAGGTTACTATTAATATTGAATGATTGAATGTTGTTACAGGTTTCGAAGTGAAATTTGAAGATGATTTACAGTTTTCAATTTATGGACAATTTAAGTAACTCAGTGTTGGCCTGTTGTTGATGTTGACCTGCTGCTAGATGGTAAAGGCAAGTAGAAGTGACAATGACAAGTAAAGTAACAAGTTTAATGAGAAAATTTGGTCCAGTTGGAAAAGGTAAAAGAGGATAACTTTGTGTGTTTGGGCAGAAATGAGTTGACAAAAGGTTGATAGTAAATTCGAATCATGTTTCCAGGAGAGAGAAAAAAAGAAGACAAGAAAAGATGAGAAAAGAAATTGAAAGAGTAAAGTAGAAAAGTTGCCTTTCAAAGTTAATGTTAACATGATCGTCTTAGTCCCTATCAACCTAAAGAGTGCAGGTTTACCGTTGATAAAGTATTGAATTGCAACTCTAAGATTGATTTGAAAATGAGTTTTGATTTTCTTTCCGTTCAAAATGCACTTAATGTTGAGATAAAATTTTGCTACTTTTCTTTTTCTTCCAATCAAGTTTATGGAAAATTTCAAGTTTCAATAAGTTTCCTTTTTCATGCATTTTCTTTGCCATGCCTTATTATTCTGTTCAGGAGAGAAAATGTTCAAACTGAATTTTACCTTTTTCCTTTTTTCTATCCTACACTTTCTTTCCAATGATTTATGTTGTCTAATTTCATTTTCATTTCTTTGTCCAACTCATCATCATAATCAGAATCATCACTTCTCCTCACACTTTATCTTTGCTTTTTGTATTCAACTTCACATGGAAAGTGATAAAATTCAGAACAATATTAATATACAGTTATTCAGTTATTACTTGGAGTTTCCAACAATTTTTCACTTCTTTTCCTCAAACCTTTTATCACCTTTTTACTTTAATCTCAACATTGAGTTATGATCATTAATACTGAAAGGTAGATTTCATTATTTCAAATAAACTGGAAATCTCGATTCGATCACTTTAACCAGAAGATTGATTAAGCTTTTGAATTCTGAATATCAAGCTCATTTAGGACTGTCAACGGTAGCACAATCTTAATCTTTGTCTTAGGAAACTCTTGCAATCGTACACTTTACTTAACTCGACTTAACAAGAATCACTTGATCACAGAAATGTTTGGAATGTTCAATAGAACAAGTTAAGACCAAAAGCTTGAAGCAACTACAGTGCGTTAGCACTAAAAACAGTTTTCATTCTGGCACAACTCAGCAACCCTTAGTGCTAGAAAACTTTGAAATGCATCATCATTGTCCAGTTATTTATACTAACATTAACGGAAGGAGAAACTGGAATAAATCAAGGAAAAGGAAAGAAGCTGCATAGTAACCATGACCATATACCTAGACGACAGCAAACAATAGAGTTATTTCATTACTGAGGGATCAATACATAATTTACAAAAGAATTGAAATTATTGGCAATTTGAGCTTTGGTTAACTCAACCCTTCGATAAAACAAAATTTTCGTTAAATTTTTCGATTTTTTCTGTTTCAACTTACAACTAATGAAGATATAAAGGTTGAACAGACTATTGGATAAAATCTGTCAACTTGAAACATTGAATGTAATTAGCAAACCTTTTTCTGTTCATCAATCAAAAGTGTCGTCAAAAGTTGAGATATTCACTGAATCACTTCGATTTTGATCTTTTTTTACGATTGTTTAAAATTGATGGATAAACATTGAAAGTTGATCGTGAAATTTCCATTGAAATTGTTTCATTTACAAGTGAAGAAAGAAAGACAAAGAAAATTAAAGTTTCATCAAGAGTAAAGTTGCATGTTTTACCCGAGCAAATTGTTCATTTAACCTTCAAGGGAAACAACAGTTTGAAGGTAAAAAAAGGAAAAGTTCATTGAAATTGATTCACTTGAAATGGATTCAATATTCTTATACGAGTCCAAAAAGCGAAACTAAAATGTCTTTGAAAATTATTGTTAACATTCAAAGCACGAGCTCAAGCTCATGATGTTTATTCAGTTTCAGTGTTGAGCTTTTTTGACTTTTGACTTTTGATATTTTATATTTATTCTGCGATTTGGTAAAGTCTTTTTTTTGGAGCAAAAAATTTGTTACTTTTTCTCTCTTTGTTACTATTGGCCTTTATTATTTGAATAACATTGAGTTTCAGTTTCTTTTCCTTCCTCTGTTTTCATTATAACATCTAATGCTAAACTGATAAAGGTTAGTTTGTATTTTGCCTGTTTCCTACTTTTGATTGGGAAAGCTTGCCATCAAATTTGTATCAATGAATTGAGTAACAGTTAATCCGTTCAATCAAAAGCACAAAAAAGCAAAATTTGAGTAAACATTTGCATTCCCTGAAGTTTTCATGTCAACTTCATTTTGTCTTCATCTTTTGTCCACTCAGGTGCAACATCTCAATGTTGACCGTCTGGGTTTTGTTAATAACTGATGTTGAGAAGATAAAAATTGTTATTAATCTTTTCTGTTCAACGAGCAAATCATTTATTCATTTCATTCATAACCGTTCAACTCTACTTGAAATGAATTATCAGACTTGTTTCGTCATCATGAAGTCGATCAAAAGAGATGATTTTAATTAGCAGAGGAAAGATTAAGAAAGAAATGAATTTACGCAATTTGATGACTCAATCCAGAAATTGAATTTCGTCAACTAATCAGAAAAAATTTCAATGATGAAACTGATTGGAAAAGAGTTCATTGAATTTGTATCAGAATAATGAACGAATTTAAGTTCATTTTTGTTGAGCAACTTTTTTCGAAAATTCATTAAATTCGAACTTTTACTCATTCGATAATTTTTGATGGAAGTCAATTTTTTTAGTTCGACTTTTCGATCAAAAAACACATTTCTCAGAATTGGTTCATGTTTGTTGAAAATTAATTGAATTATTTTTTTCATTGAGTCAGATAATCCTTTTTTAACTCGATTCTGTTCATTAGCTGTTAGAAGTTGTATTTTCATTTACCTGTGAAAATTCAATTAACTCGTCACAAACATTCACCTTGACGAGATGCTTTTAAATGGTTGGATAAGATTCTGTGAGCCTGGAGCCAAATTTAAACTCTTTTGATCACTTCATTTCTTTCAATTTTGCTCAGTTTATATTTCATGATTGATTTGAAATAATCTTTTCTTTTCTTCAAATATCACCGAGTCAATGTTATCATTATACTAATGTATAAATATTTCTTATAAACTTGTATTGATACAATATTATTCTTGCATCTTACTCTGATCTTACCATGATGATGACAATAAAGACACATAACAAGGGAAAACAAATTATTTTGATCACTTGCTGAGTTAGCTGTAAGATGAGGGAAAACGTTGCATCTGGTTTCTTGGTTGCTCAAGTAAACTCAACTTTTGGAGGAAAGATGAAGAGAGAAGATGAAATATTGAATGTAAAAGTTGAGATGAGACTAGTTTTAATAAAGTGAGTGCCAAAAGAAGAATAAAAGATGAACAAAAGATGAAGGAACATTTTCTGTTTGTGTTACCAATTGAAAGAATAGGAAACATGTTAACTCGTTTTTTTATCGATCATGTAATTTCCAGATAAATGATAAGTTATACTAATAGGAAGCGATTTGTGCTTCCTATTTGATAACATTCGTAAATGCCTTTTCATAGCAAAAGCCGCAACCCAAAAGTCGAACAAAACTCGTCTCATGAAATTCAAAACACAAAACTCATGACCAGTTGAACGTATTCCAAACATTGACTCACAATGGATTAATTTTTATTCAAGTTGCAAAGGTTCAGATTATCAAAAGGGCATTAAAGAGTTGAAAACAACATGAAATGAGATTCTTTGATTGTAGTGATTTCACCAAGAATAATGTTTAATGTTGAGAAAAAAATGAATTATGAAAGCAAATTTTTTTTCGTTTCTGAACAAATTGAGGAATAAATCAATGGTTAAAGAAAAGTTGAAATGCTAAAATCAACGAAAAAGGAAATTTTTTTCTTTTTATCTCTTTTTTCATTTTTAAATCAAAATCCGAACCCAAAAGTAATACTTTGATTTTAATGAATCAACAATTTTTGTATTTACTCAAATTCAATTATTTCAAGCCAATAGTTGAGCTGTGAAACCCAAAATTTTAATCTCATCATGAGCTTTCAACAAACAAGTTTTGCTTTTCTTCAAACTTGAAAACAAAAGGTTGAAATTGGTTAAACTGTGAATAATTTTAGAAAGTAAAGTTTCCAAAATGGACGAGAAAATGGATCAGAAATTTCCTGGATTTCATGAATAGTTTTCAGCCATGAATGGTGAAAATTTGAAAACTTTTCTTTCTCTTCCTACTTGATCATCTTCCATCATGAGAGACAATTTTACTCGATTTTTTTCAACTCGACCGACTATTCAAAGAAAGATTAACCTTTTCATCGAGAAAGAATGGAAATTCAATCTTTTTCTCTCGACTCTACTTTTGCTCACAAATTTTATTCAACATTATTGAAATAAATTGTCAAATTTTCTGTTGAAATGTAAACTGCAAATTTACTCTCAATGAGGTGCCGATTCATGGATAAATTGAGGTAAAAGAAAAACTCAGGAAAAGAAGAAAAAGAAATGGAAAAATGGTCAAACTCTATTTTGTTCACATTCATCTTGTTGACCAGTTTTATTGAGAATCTTTACTCTTCATAATCATGAAGTAAATATAATGGTTGATAATCACTTTTTGCTCATGTTTTGGATCAGAATTTTGATTGATTTCGAAGCAAAATTATTCAACAGAAATGGCAAAAAGAGTTGAAATAATTTCAATTAATCTCTTTACTGGTATTTCGTTATCCATTCAACCTTTTGCAACATTTTTCTTGCTTTCTTTTCTTCTTTCTTTTCACCAAACTTTCTTTTCACATCAAAAAATCTTTCATCAGAATCTTGTTCATGAATCAGACGAAAAAAAGCAAACTTTTGTTTTCCCTCTCTTCTTCTTGTTGCACTTTTCCATCAACTTTCATCTAGTTTCATCTCATTCATTGCCTGTCTAATGCTTCTCTAATATTGCATCAATCTATTGGGTCAGTATAATTTGATCTGCCTATAAATTGATCTTCAACATTTTATTACTGACCAACAGATTATCATGCTCATAAAGTTGAGAGAGTTTTCACATCTTTTAGAAGAACAATTAATCAAAGTGAAATCGCACAAAAAATAGTAAACCTGAGAATCTAAAGTGTAACAAGCTAATGAAATAAAAATGACCAAAGAGTTTATCGATTGACCATTTGCAAATGCAATTAATTAACTTTTCAAAGGCAATTGATATCATATGAAAGTCAATGTGTTGATGGTCAAAAGCGATTCAACCTTTGGCTATCAATTGAATGAAAAATGGTCGAAAAGGAAAGTTGAAAAAAACGAAAAATGAAGTTTTCTTGCGACTCTTTTACTTGAACTTTTCACTCGAAATTTAATTGAAATTATTGGATACATGAGAGGCATTTAATGAAATTTAATTAATTTACTCTTTTACATTTATCCGATTAATATCTTTTCCATGTTCTTTTATCATTTCATTTTATCCATTGACAGGCAATCCAAAGTCATCCATCATCCAACTTGACTAATGAATCTGCCAAGAAACAGGGACGTCCTCATCAATCGCACCAACAGCAACAGTCACACCAGCAAAGTGTCCAATCATCCCTGCCAGATTCACCCTTTAAGCTTTCCTCAGCCAACACGGGTTTACTGATCAACTCACCAGTTGGACTGATTGAGGTTACCAATGAGATGATGGGTCGTACAGCAAGTCCCTCCATCAAGGCTGAGGCTTACCCAGTCGACTACATTTCATCGGTCACAGGATCACAAATGATGGCTCTCAATGGTGACTTGACGTCTGACTTGCTTGAAAATATTTCATCAACTACGACAACAACCACAGCCACAGGAGACCATCACAATGACTCGGGTGGACATCGACTGATCAACACTGGTGGTGGTGGCAATGGTGGTGGTAGTCATGTGTCAATGTGCAATTCCGTCTTTTATCCTGACAAGTGTCCAACCATTTCACGTCTCTCAAGCCATCATTCACCAGCCTATCGAACAATAAGTCAAAATAAATTTGGCCACATTGAAGAGCCTCGGGAATTTCATGAGATGAATATTTGACAATTCAGGACAACCCCAGTTTGATTAAATTGGCTAAATGTTTACATGGAATGGAAAGAAACACAAAGAAAAGACAAAGACAGTCAATCAATTCAAGATTCAAGTAAACATAAAGATGAACATTAAAGTTGTGCTTCATGCTTTCAATCACAATGCTACTTACATCATTGTCTTCCTTCATGTTGAAACTACAAAGAAAAGGGTTCAATGTTCATGGGAAACAGTTGACGTTACATGCTCTTCATGCTGGATAATCTGGTCCTATTTGCATTCTCATCTTTGCTGACCTGATTAGCCATTTCGTTATTTTGTCAAAAATTTGCTCTTCAACCCTTCAAGTTTCCTCTTGCCAACATTTTCACTTCAATCTTGTACACTTTTGTGCCTTACAAATACATAAAATACTGTTTATGATAGTTATTATGATAAGTATTTATCGATATAACACATTAATATCTGGACAAAATGGCTATAAAACAATTTCTAATTCACATAAAAAAGTTAATACTTTCTAGCCTTATGTTTTATTCCTCTCAACCTTGTCTTTGATACTAACCAATGTATTTTTGATCAATAAAACATTGTTATTACACCCAAACTAACTTTGTTACTTCCTTTTGAAATTTGCACAGAAAAATGTTTCAATATTTTCCAGTTTTCTTAATCTCTCCACCTAGAATTTTCCCAGAATTCGCCAACCAGCTCTGATGCCGAACCATAGAATATCTTTTGAAAATATGATAAATTGGACAAAGATACGGCTCAAGGGGTTATAGTGAGCATTTACATCTGATAGCCAATGAATAAATCCAATATGTTTCAGTGATGAAACATTATTTTGTTTAGTTGGAGTAATTTGAGTTGTTGATATCGCTTTCGTACACAGTTGCAAAAAGCAAAATTATTTGAGTTATTATCTGCATAAGATTAGATTGATTGGGTGAGAAAGAATATGACAGGAACGAAAAGAAAATTAATTTCTATTAAAGGCGAAGTAGTAGATCTATCTGTAGTGTCATTTACAACTCTGCTTTATTTTCTTTTATTAAAGTTCTGATTAGTTTCTATTTGTTTCAATAGATGGCGAAAGGTATTACATTCTTTGCAAAGTGATGCACAAAACCAATTGAATCGCACTGCACACTTTGCAGTAAAATTATAAAGGAGGAAGGCCAAAGCGCAGAAAGATTTTTTTGTTGCGAACACACATGATATACAATTTTATGCTGAATTCTTTCATGCCTGCATTCATTTGATTTATATCAACTTCAATATCTAGTTGAAATTGCTTCAAGACTGAGTAATTTAAAAATATTTTGATCAGATCTGTTGGATTGCTGATTAAGTTTAGTAGTAAACCTTCGTTGTGATTAGTTCTTGGTCCAATATTAGCAAAATGGTTCCATATTTGTCTTTTAAATGTTTCATTAGTTTCATTGAATCACAAGTTTTCGCCATATTGAAAAAATTATCTACTTTATCATTATTATTATTGTTGTTGTTGTTGACATTGATAGTGTTCCAGGCTTCGTTCAATTTATCAATAGGGACAAAAGGCTAAGAAACAAAGAAAGAGACATAGAAATTATTCGTCTGAGCAGTTGTTTGAAATTATCATCATCTCGGTAATGATACAATATATATAATGTTTTCAATCCTAAGGCTCCAATTTTTCGTATACAACACTGTGTGTAATGAAATTAGCAACCTTTGATTTTTATATTAGGAGAAAAATGTTTAAAAGCTTCAATTACACCTATCTCATAATCAATTGTAAGCTCAGTTGGACTAAAATTTACCTTTAGCAAATTACCAACAATGATAATAAACAACAATATCATCTCTAACTAATTTATGTGATTTAAGTAATATGAAAATTCATATCATGAGAATGATTGATATAAAAGAAAATATACCTTGATAAACTAAACTAGCCGCTGCATGTTTCCTAGGGGATTTATTATTTTGTATAGGCCATCTCGTAAATGTGACGTAGGCGAGACTCATATGAAGTAAATTCTGTTAGAATTGGTGTGTATACTCGACTGTACCTCCTTGGAATGATTATATTCTGATACTTTGGAATCGCACGCATGAAGTTGATTCCATTTGCAATGTCACTCACATCATCAAGTAGTGTAGGAATTACAGAGTAGCGATAAAATGCGGATTTCGCTATCAATAGGTCTGTTCATACTAACAAAAACTCATTCAATTTGCATTGGCTTTGCAGAGATGAAAAAATGATGCAGTTCTTAGATACTCTGAGTAAAAACTAATTAACATAGAAGCTTATGCCTTTTAGTTTGCAAGAAACAAGAAATAATAATTTCTCTGTGATTACAGTATACAAAGTTTCTGTTTTGAAGAAGTTGTTAGAACAAACACTTCATGGTTGCATTAAAACCAAAACTCATATTTATCTTTGTAAAAAAAGTGCAATGAGATTCTAAGAAATAGCCACAGGTAAATGTTGGTCATTTTGTAGATAGAGTACCATCAGTATTGATCTTCAATCGGTCATTCAACATCAAACCAGCAGTAGAGTTATTCATGTAATTGTGCAGTTATACTTATTTTGTATATCTTTCAGTTTCTATTGTCTTAACTCAACTGCAGCAAAATACTAAAAATTGTTTAAAACAAAATCACAACTCCAAGGTGCGTCTATTTTCTGTTTTTTCATTCAGAAATTTTTGCATTTTCCTCTCTTTCTATTCCGTTATATTCTCATCACAAAGGAAAGATTTAATTTCCAACCGAGGCATTTATATACAAAGCTACAAGATATTGTTCAGTTTCAGGTATGAGAGGGATGATAAACAATATTTTTACCTTTAATGATATTTTTCACATTAAATCTGCAGTGGATTCAGCTCTTCTAAATTTGGAAACTTTTGCTTGCACAATACAAAATCGAGGCAGAAAATGATGAGCTGGTGATTAAAAATGAACGCAGCCATTCAAACACTGATCAAAGAGAAGAATGACCAACTTGAGAAAATGTTTCAAATTTTTTTGTGAATAAATAGTTTCCTCAATTTACTTCGCTCATTCTTTTATCTTTTTTCTTATTAATAAAAGCCTACACTTAAACTTATTAAAGAAGGATGTTTGATTTATTTGACCGATACAGTAGTAATAAAATAACCTTCCTGACACATTTTGTGCCAGAAAGGCCATTTAACGAAAATAAATTCATCATTAACAATTTTTCCCGCGTTTCACGTATGATGAAAAATCTCAATTCAATGTATTTCAACAAATCAAGTTTTAATCAATAATTTAAAAATATTAGTGATTTGGCTCAAATGTTAATTTAAAACCATTTTTGCGGCCACAAATACAATTAATCTCAGTAATTTCTGCATGAAGACGCCGTCATTTTCAACGGCATCACTAGCATCAGGATCGGAGACCTGATCTGACCACTCCATGAATTCCGTGTAAGTTGAGGCCTGGGAAAGTATTTCCGTAGTATCACTGTCCATTTCGGTAGGTTTTAAACATGCAAGCAATTATTTTTCAAATTCTTCAGGTGAAGGAAGAACCACTTTCAGAAGTTTACAACCATACTTCATAAACAATTCTTTTTCTTTCTCTTTCATCATTTTTTTATTATACTTTTTAATTGTAGCAAGAATTTTAGCCATTTTTCCATCAATTAACAAGTAAAACAACTTTGTAAATAAAAACAAATGAACAATTCCAATCAAACTTTTAACTCAATGATGAATTGCACTATGTTGCACTAAGTTAGAGGTCAGTCAAAGTGATTTTTCAGAATAGAGAGATGGATTCAATTACCTCAAAAAGCTATTGTGGGAGATGAGCTATATTTATTGGTTAGTTAGAAAATGAGATCAAGCATGTGTAGTTAAATGATGAAGGAGGAACTTTAGTGATTAACTTATGATTGTTTCAAATCAAGTTAAGAGGTGTGGTTGCGTGAGTTTTTGCTCACTAGTTCATGGAGGTGGAGCATTTCAGACATAAAAGTTTATGTTCATGGAATATATTCTTCATTCAAGTTATTGAACAATTGCTAATTTTTCTAAAGTCGATTGATTGTCTAAAGTATATTAAATATTCTTCCACTTCATCTTAAAAAATGAGTTTCTGTTTATTTCTGTCTGAAATCAGTATTTACAAGTAATCAAAGCTATTGAAAATGGGAATGATGATTATAACGATGATGACGATATTTCAATGTTAGTTGTTTAATTTGCAACTGCTCAATTAATTATGTGAATGTTATTTTGTTGATCTTTTTTTAATTCGGGGATTCAGTTGAAAATTTTGGTTTCATTTTACCGTTAAATGGCCTTTCTGGTACGAAATGTGCCAGAAAGGTCATTTTATTAATACTCATACAAAAATTATTTCATTTAATATTACAAAATTTTTAATAGTTGAAAACAACTCACGGAACTTTATTATTACTCTAGCTGCGAATTTTCAGATGAGTTATGACTTTTAGATGACTTGATATTCCAATAGCTGGATTATAGATGAGACTCTAGTCACAATAATATCAATTGATATGAGATTCTGGTCACTGAGAGTCACCTAAGGTTCTGTTTAGTTTTTAGTGTTGGATAACACAAATTCCAGTCACTGTTATGAAAATGCACTTGAGATTCTAGTCACTGTAGTCGGTTAGCAACGTATGTTGTCACAATGTATCAGTACTTTGCGGTTTAATCACCAAATAATAGTAAAGTCAAACACTTCTTGAACTACCGACGATTTCCATCTTGATGGTAACTATAAAATGTGTTGAAATGATTGGTCCGATTATGGGCACCAAACAAAGAGATTGTCGGCCATTTTTGCAGGATAAGGGAGAAAATCTTCTCTCGCATGGCCTTCCTACCAAAATCTAGCCAATTGTGGCCTTTCCCTACCTACTGGGAGGGGAAGGTATAACCTGAAAAACCAGTTTTTTCCTTCACTCATAAATTTTCAACATGCTTATCAAGCCTCAATTGAGATATAAATCTTCCCCAAAAACTAAACTTCCCCAAGAATCCAAAGACCAATGCAGAATTTACTAAACATTGGTTTGAAAGACAGGTATGTATCTTTGAAAAAGTGGTGTAAAAGACGGGTCTTTATTACTACTCTCTCCTCCATTTATTTTCAACGTTTTCGTAATATCTTCGTAAAACTAAATCTCATTTTGAAATGGGTTAGAGTTAATTAAGCATGTAATTTCACATCATATATAATTATAACAAAGCATTTCTCTCTAGGCAGATTTCCCTATTGCTTTTGGGCTTCATCCTTTTACTGAGGGGTTTCTTGCAAGGATTAAACAATTCAAACCCGATTGCTTAAACGTGTCAAATTTAACTATGTTCCTAGTTATAATCTGCGACTTATTTTTCGTTTCAATAACTTATGAGCGAAAAAATCCACATAAAATATCACTAAATCATTGGCATGGAATCTATATTCTACACGATTTTTAGCACGATCTGAGGTGGGACGCTAAGTTTGTTCTCCGTTCTTCAAAATGTATGTTTGGATAGCTTTAAATAGTTAAACATAAGTATACAATAACGCTATCTATTGATATTGTTTGCAATCAACACGATACCTTACGCCATCTATGAAAAATTCGAGAGACTATGCGCGACTTGTTGGTTGAAGTTTTATCTATTAAATGTTTCAAAATTTTCGTCTAGATTGCTGTATTGAAAGTTGAAAGATTTTTGCAAAACAAGTAGAAAAAAAAGAATTGCATTAAAGGCAATAAAATAAATTTATTTTGCTCAAAGCATAAAGTTACAAAAGATTGATACTTTTGTTGAAATTGTCTCCTTGTAAAGAGCTTGAAAATTAACATCGACAATATTTACAAATAATGTTCACGAGCAGAACCAGATACTATTGTTGCAGTTGCAACGGCACCGTTACTTTGTCCAATGGACGGACAATGGGGACTCTGTCGTCTTATATAAGAACCATTTGTTTCAGTCAACATGAAAACTGATTTAATAGCATATTTAACTTCCTTCATTCTGTAACTGTAGATGAATGGATCTACAATTGCTTTAATGACTACCAAAGAGTTGGTAATGAAACCAAGAACCATTCGTACGTTTGGAGGTTGACGGGACAAGGGATAAGGACAGCCATCAGTACACGAAAGAGCCAACCAGATAATGTTGGGCATCCAGCAGATGAGATACGTGCCGACAATGATCAACGAAGTAACAGTGGTTCGCCTGTATTGTGACCTATTGTCCCCAGTAATTCTTGACGAGGTTCCAGTAGAAGTGCTGATTGAGGCTCCATCAAATCGTTTCAGAGATCGATGAATGTTGGAGGTGAAAAAGAGTTCATGAAAGATGCGACAATAGGCAAGAAACATGAGAAACAGGGGAGTTGAAAAGCAGATTAATATCGTGAAACGAAACTTCCAAAAATAGAGAAATAAATGAGGACAATTGCGAGCACGAAAACCTGGAAAAATGATGAGATGAAGGAATAAAGGAATTAAAAGTTGAAATGCTTTTGGTTTTGTTTAATTTGTTTTGTCATCAAAAAAGTCAAAGGTTGGAATTGGAATAATAAAGGAAAGATTAAATTTTGCTTCCTGCCAAACATCATTCTAAACATTCTTTTTCCATGGACAAAAGAATTATTCTTGAAAAGATGAAAATCTCATGAACTCACCTTGACAAGGTATTGACCAAAAATAGCCAGTGAAAAAAGTCAATGAAATTATCCAGCAAGAAGCAGATAAACCATGGACTGCCTTTGGATTCTGGAATACACTTTGAGTTCTGTAATGGAGCAAATGACAATTAACATTTAATTGGTTCAAGAATTTCGAGTCGAGAGAAAAAAATGGAAAAATTCTTTATCGAAGAACAGTTTTGACGATAAAATTGATTTTGAAATTGGACTGAACACTGAATGGAATCGAAAAGGCAATTCAATTAAAAATTGTTAATCAAACGTTTCCCGATCAATATTGAGAGAAGAAATTTTTCTTCTCTTTTCTCATGAAATTCCAATTTTCTCTTTCATCTAATTTATTATCATGTTATTCATGATTATTCATTATTGATGCCATTTTCTGTTTTCCATTATTATTTAAATCAAATGTTTTATTGTTAACTTTTTGTATCAATTTCAATCACAATCTATCCTTTTCATCATGAACAATAATGTCACTTATCATGTTATGGAATCAACTACTGCAGAATCATGGAAAAGAATAAAATAAAATTTTCTATTTTCATATTTTCTCCCAGCTTTTAGCTTTAATCAATGAACACTAAACATGGCCTCGAGTGTTTCAATTGTTGATGGAAATGAATAAAAGTTGTTTTTTCATTCATTTTTGCGTTTCATTAAAAATTGAATTTGAAACATTTGACTGAAAATTTTAAAGTATTTAACTTTTGTTTAGTTTTGCGTTAATTCAATTGAAGGTAAATTGGTTCAATTTTGAACTCGAGTTTGGAAGAAGATTCAAGATGAAATGGAATGGAATGAGAAACATTTCGAGTTGCCAGTCAATTAACATGAAATTGAATCTGAATATTTAATGAGTTGATCAAATTGAATTTCAACTCTTTTCTTTGTTTCACTCATTTTCAATCAATTTAATTTCATATTGAGTTGATCAAAGTTTTAGAGACAAAAAGAGGATAATTGAATCAATATAAATGATCAACTTGATCAACCGGAAGAAGGTAAAAGGAAATAGAATATTTCTTTACAATTTTAGAACTCGATTCTCTCAAGTTGAACAAAAAGGTATAAAAGAGATGAAGAGAGAAAAAGTGATTTTTTCAAAAGTTGGAAGCTCAACTTGGAATTGTCATTTCAACTTTGCTGCAACTTGATGATATTCAAAACTAGTTATCTGAAAGAAGTGAAAAATTCTTATCTTTTTCTTCTAGAGTTTCGTGTTTTGACTCACCACTTGAAATGAACCTGAAAGAAATGATAATTGAATAAGAAACTTCCCTCCAAGTCTTTCCGATTTTCCCTCTTCTCACTGTAAAATTGAATCACAATACTTGTTGACATTGACATGAACCAAAGTCTCAATCTGCAGATTATCATGAAAGTAATCACAAGTTGAAGCAAGATAATTGATCAACTAATTTCATCAAACTTTTCATTTCATCTTGTTGACCCTTTACATCAACTATGAATAGCCAAAAATCGTCGATCCATTGAAAATGATGGAAATTTGTTTTCCTTTAGTCAACATTATATTTCCAATGATTGATTCATATGAACACTTGCAATTCTAATTAGATTGTAATTGCAATTGCAACACTCAAAGGGTCAAATTTGATTGGATGGAATCAATGAAAATGATGGAATTGAAAAATTGACTAAAATTCGGATAAACCTCATTTCCTTTCATTTACAGATAAACATAAACAGCAAATGAAAAGATGAAATTTGATGAATGATAATGGATAAAGAAGGTTGACTAAAGCAAGAGACTTTGATTGTACAGGGAATTCACTCCCAGTCAGAATGATAGTAAATTACATTAAAGGTTTCAACAGTGATTTATTGCTGTTAAATGGTGATTGGAGGAAACAATTTGAATAAATAACTTCAATTTGGAAGAGAAGAGAAGAGGAAAATTGAAGAGAAAATGAAAAGAGTTGAAACAATTACTCAATGTTGATGTAAAGAGTGGGATAAAATGAGTTGCCATGAGTCCATGAATTGCGTCTATTAACTATATTAACCAATCATTTAACCATGTCAAATGTATTTCCAGTGAAACTGTGGACAAGACAATTATCGATAAACAATTTAATATCATTCCCTGTCAGCTTTACGATATTTTCATTTTCACTTTAATTCTTTTCTTTTTTTCTTCTTCTTCTTTGCCGAAAAGAAGATAAAGAGACAAATCATTTGAGCTGAAAGAGAGGATAAAGTGGAAGATGGAAAAGATGAAAGGATAATAATGATGAGAATAAGTTAAAGAAACCAAAATCAAGTTGTACAATAATAACATCAACACTTTCATATCATAATTACATCATGATGCTGATAAATGTCGATTTATCCTTTACCTATTTCCACTCAACTCGCTGTATCCAGTTTAATCATCGACTTTTTTTCTTGGTCATGCTTGTTCATCTTGTGCCATTCTTTTTGCTTCTTTCATGGTAATCATGATTCCATTGATGGCAAAAGTTCGAATTGCCTTTTTAATGTTATTACATTCGGCTAATTTAATGGTTCAATTGTGATTCTAAATTTGGCTCATTTCATCAGCAAATTGCTTTGCATTTCACTTTAATAACTTTAAATTTCTTTCTTCTAAACTTTGCTTTCTCAGCACTTTTGTTGGAATTGATATTTCACTCTTTATAATAACTTTTCACTTCAAAATGTTTCAGAAAACTTGACATTGAGTCGAGTTGAAAATGCATCAAAATCTTGAGTAACTTCATTGATTAAGAAAATTTCATGAAAATAGAGAAACTTATTTTCGTAAAATCCAACTCAAGTTGGTAGAACTATAGTTTTTACTAGTTTTATTGTTCAGAAAATACGTGTAGATCGTCATCATTAATGGTGCAACAATAACTGATCAATCGATCAAGAAACAAGATCAATATCATATCAAGAAGACATAAAAATTGAAACGAAAATTGAAAGTTCTAAGTGATCTTCAATAGCCTTTGATTGCACGAAATCACATCACGAAACGATAAAAAAGCAATTTCTTTCGACCTCGACTTGCATGTTTTACAGCATTAATAAGTTTTTTTCGTTGATCTCTTTAGGGAAGAAACAGGCGCGTTCGAGGGTGCAAATGCCTCATGGAAATCAAATATTTACCCTTTTCCATTGCAATGTTCATCTGGTGGAAATAAAGTTGACACTGGAAAGCCCACTTTACATCCATCATCATGACAGAAGGAAAAGTTGGAGAAATTTTTTTTTCCTCGAAAAGAAAAGCAGTTCAAAGGAAAATTGTTTTTATGCATAAATATTGTCAAATGGAAATGCTATGTTAAACTGTTTCAATAAAGTTGGGGAAAAAACGTTTATTCAAAGAGTTGCAAAGTGAGAAAAGTTGTGTTTCCATTTTAACAATTTATTTTTAATAATAAGACGAGAGAAGCGAAAAGAAAGGAAAAGGGAAAAAAATAATTTACATTTTATGAATTAAGGTTGACTCTCTTTTCAAATGTTTATGCAATGAACAGGAATCGAGGGAAAAGTGAACAACTTGGAAAGGAAAAGAGAAGCAACGAAAAGACTGAGTTGCTCTAGTTGCTTTCCTCGAGTTATCCTTTTCTGCCACTTGTTTTGCATTCCCTTTGCCTTCCCTGACTCTTTGCCTGGGAGTTAAAGTTATCATCTTGCTTGATAATCATGAGCCAAAAATGTAATATCTAATAAATATTATCCAAATGCCTATGAGAATCTTTTTTGCTCCAAGTTTTACAAATTTTTTGCTTCCATAAACCAACAATTGGAGCATCTTTTATCATGATAATAAGAAGATGAGCTAAAAATATAAATCATTTATTCTAATCATAAACATCATTGGAAATGAAAATTAGCACAAGAGATGAAAGTGAAGTGAAGTGAAAAATAATAATAATAATAATAATAAACACTTATCATGAAGGAAAGGTAATCTTATTGTGAATAAGAAACAGTTTCTTGTACAATAATGTGCATATTCTTTCCTCATTTATTCCTACTTTTCATTTGCTACTTTATACAACTTAATGAACTTTTTCTCGCCTTTTCTCTTTTCTCTTTTTCTTTTCCTTATTTTTCCTCTTCATCTCACCCATTAATAGTGCTCAAAAGTTTTTACTCTAAGAACTGCTAATAAATATTTCCTGTTCTGTTAACATCCGGCTGAACAAGATTCATCATTACCATTCAACATTCATGAGCAACTGAATAGTCAAAGATTTCGTTTTCAGCTTTTCCATTTCAATCTTTTCACCGAAAATCTTTTTGTATCTTGAGTTTCTCGAGACACTTTTTGCTCTCAACTATCATTATTTCAACGAAAAGATTCAATTCATTTTTAAATGATTGCTTGATGTTATTAGAATCACTTTTTATTGACGTCTGTTTTTGCTTGTTTTAATAAAAGTTGACTAAATTTTTTCTCCTTTTCACAGTTTTCACTGAAGAGCGAATTTCATATTTCACATTTTTCTCTAGCCACTAACATTTTCTCCTGTCTCTATGCCAATATATTGTTTCTGATTCATGTCATCAAATTGATGAGCAAATATTAAATCAAAATTGTTATTAAAGTCTAAAAAATTTCAAGCAATACAAAGATTATTTGAATGGATGAAAATTGGACCACAGAAAAAGAATCTACATCAAATTCGTATTCCTACAAAAATAACAATGATTGGCATTAGCAATGTATGTACTAGCAAATTATTTGTCGGTGCAAAGTTCGGTTGTAGCAAGGATAAAATCTATTCGACTTTGAATTTTGGTAGAAAAAGCTAAAAGACATTAAAAGAGTATTTTATTGACAATTGGCTGTCAACATAGAGAGAAAAATAATGTGGATTCTAATGTCAATGTGATTAAAAAATTCAGAGTGTGGAAACAGAAAAAATTAAAAGTAAGAAATAGCGAATCCTTGCACTCTGTTGTAACCAATGTTGAGGAGAGCTAAATTTTTTGCACCCTGCATTAGTTAACGTTCATTAAACGCATAATACTGGGTGGACAGAGATAAACGCCGTAATTTTTTTTTATTTCAAGTCAAACAGTTCGAGTTGTGGACTCTAGATTTTTT